AAATACCCCCCCCCCCCCAAATATATATATATATATATAAAATAATTTAATTAGTTACCCAAAATTCAAATCATTCAAATCAGTAACAGAAAATAAACAAATCATCACGCATAATATATCTTTTAAAAATTCATCTCTCTTGCTGATTGTGGTACTTTAACCTTCTTTCACATTAAACCTTAACATAGCTCAGCTCTTAATTGATTTACAGACAAAATAAAATATACTTTAATAAGGAGAACAAGAATGGAAATGATTAACTTGAATTCAATTCAACACTGTAAAATAAACAACTGAATCATAAATAACATACTATAGTCTTCACATGGTTTCCATATAAAACCTTCATCTGAAAATAGTGATTAACCCTAAACTTTAATTGTAAATTCAAATTTTAACATATCTCTTTTCAAATTTAACCATTACATAAAATATTTCTCATTTACCAGACTTTATAAATTTATGTTCAAACAGTTTTACTAAACCTGAAGTTTTTTCTCTTTTATTGTTTAATCATGCAGAATTGCCATTAAGAATGGTTGAATGATCACAAAGATTACTAGATGCATGATTCCTATTACACAGGACAGTCAGGCCCATAGGAACTGGGGGAGGGTGGATGAGGGGGTAATGCCTTCCTCCCCTCCTGATATTTTGCTGATTTAGAGTATTCCTATAGAAAACAGTTACATACTTTATGGATTTGATCCCTAAAAAATTATGTATGATTTTTTTTTTTTTTTGGTTTCTCAAGGAATTTTAGATAGGTTCATGTAACTAGTGCTTCTCAAAACTGAATTTTTGGGGTGTGTCCCTCATGTCTCCCTCCAATAATTTTGCTGACACAAATTATTCTATAGAAAACAAAGCTACTTTATGGATTTGAGCCCTCAAATAATGTATGATCTTTTATTTTCTTGCTTCTCAAGGAATTTATGTGTGGTACATATAACAAGTGCCTTTCTAAATTGAATCTCCTTTGTATACCCCTCCCCCTTCAAATTTGCTTCCTATAAGCCTGTTACACCCTAACCAGATGCTATCACTAAAAATGTAATGTTTTTTACTTCATTTCTGTGGATAAATAGACAAAAAATGGACAGCAAAATGCAAGAATTATATACAGGTACTAGTTGAATCTTCATTCCAAACTAGTCTTACTACTTAACCCTCATGCATGGGTCTTTAGTTCATTTCAGAGCTCTAGTTATCAAATATACAGGAAATCTAATTTCTATGCCAATGGCTTAGTATTACCTCACAGAATAGTGTACAACATGTACTAGTTGTTTATAATCCTTAGGATTTAATACAAAATGATTAAATAATAAGCTATATTAAAACAATCATGGACAAAACAAATTTTACAAAACTTCTTCTTGATGAATAATATATCAACATATATATGAAAAGGCAAAGACTCAGAAGTAATTGATATTAAGATACATTTGTCAATTGCATCATTATAAGCCCTTTAACAGACATCAAAGATAGAGGTCACATGCTGTATCTTAAGCAAGTATATGTAGTTTAGTATGTATTTCAATATGCATCATCCATGCAAACTTGCTTGGTTATGGCTTCTTAAGAATAAAACTGCTCCAAAAAAAATTGAACATGTTTATCAATTGGGAAAATATGGGTCAAATGCAGCATCAATTAATGGTCTGGCAGTCTGCTTTCTAGATCAACATCATTGCAAGATTGATCAAGGTAGGGCTTACAGTTATTTAGGTTAAGAATGACTCCCAAATTTTTAACCTTTCTCAGCATATATTCATTTAGGAAATAAAGGTTAGATGCATTGCATTTGATATAAAGCATCTGATTCCCTAAATGCATCCTTTATGCAAATTTGATCTAGTTAGGGCTTACAGATATTAGAAAATGAACCTGCTCCAAAAACCTTCTCACTGAACAAAAAAATCATTTAATGAAGGTTATATATATGCAGCATCTGAAGTAAGTCTGGTAGTGCATCTCATTCTTGCATGTCTGGTTGGGAACATTTCATAGTACAGACCCTGAAACGTGCTACTACCCCAAAAAAGCGTGTGACTTTCGTGCGCTTTTCGTTTCGTGCAAACCGTGTAGCGTTTCGTGTAAACCGTGCAGCGTTTCGTGCAAACCGTGTAGCGTTTAGTGTAAACCGTGCAGCGTTTCGTGTAAGCTCCAAATCGTTTCGTGCAAACCGTGTAGCGAGCGTGAGAGAAGCGTGTGAGAAACGTGCGACTTTCGTGTAAGAACCGTGTGAGAAACGTGCGACTTTCGTGCAAGAATCATGTGAGAAACGTGTAGGATTCATTCGGAAGTCATTTTATTTTATTTTATTTTAAATATAGCTATTGATGGATTAACATGTCATTCTGTGTTGTTTGTAACTAATATTATTCGGATATATCATACCGGTGGTATTTTAAGAAAAAAAAAAATACGGAAACAACAAAATAAAATTACTCGGTAATGTATTACATATTTGTTTTTTTTTTTTTTTTTTAATTTAAATAAAGATGGAAAGAAAATGTGTTAAAAGTAATTAATTATATGCACATCAATGTTAATGCATTTGATTCAATACTGGTCTTGTCCTTTTCATTCATTTATTAGAATCTCTTCATCATTTTATAATTATGGCATATAGAAATTATAAGAAGATATGGGTGATTAATACAAAATAATAGATAGATAAGGCAGGCGTGAAAAATAAAACACAAAATTTAGTGCGTTGCTAAAAATGTGGAGTATGGGAATTCTAGGTCGGGGAACACAATTAATTTTTTTTTTCTTTATAAACGAAGATAATTTTCTTATATTACAAGATTGTGATACAAATAATTTTGAAACGATGAGTCATTTATAGTCTTTTTATGCATAGCATTGGTTGATTAATAATTGTTATATAAAGGAATCATAATTCACATGCATCAGCAAATATAGGGTTAAATATTTCCGGGGGGGGGGGGGGGGGGGGGGGGGTGTTCAATGAAAACACAAACTTAGAGTTTTTGTTAACACGTTTTTATGAATAATTTTCTTTTTGAAGATGCCCGATGCACCTCTTAAAAATATTTTGAATCTTCTTTACACTTCCAACAAGTGATCAAGGTCATTTACAACAGCGGTCACGGGCTCCGCGTGCCGGGAACTGAAAATGTGTTCTGCTACATATATTAGCTCTTGTCAATCATGGCTAAGATGACAACCGACATTAATTCATGAATTAAATTGTTTTATTAGTATTTAATTGGTACAAATAAATACCCGGGGATTTTATTTCTTAAATTTAACCGATTCTCTGTACACAGTGAATTAATTTGCCAGTGTATTCGTGAATAAAAAATTATAAAGAAATAAATACGGAATAATTATGCATTAGTTGTTTTATTAATCACGCAGTTCTAGAGCATAATTATTTAGTTTTTGGTCATTGGACATGTATACATGTATATTGAATGTATCGTTAAGAGCCGCGACTATTGATTACATTTTTTTTTGGCTGGACGGGGTTTGAAATCAAGGATTTTACAAGGTGGTGGATATATTGTTTTTATTTGATAAACCCAATGCCTCAAAAGAGAACTAAAGAATTACAATACCTATCCCCCGGCTTCTCTACCATATAAAATTTTATGATAAATTAAAGTTCAACTCTGTAATGAAACGATATATTAACCATTCTGAATAAAGTGCATTTAATGAGTTACATATATCGGGTGCCGCTGGAGATATGGATATCTTTTTTTTTTTTTTAGAACGAGCATTTGTCTCTATAATAATTTTTTTTCCAATGATATACTTACTGAAACAAGTGCCCGTTATATTTAGCCAGGTACAGAAGTAAGATCTCGGTAATCTACCCCTCCCCCCCTTTTCACGCACAATGTTCATGTTTGATGCAGTGTACTTATTACCTTTGCAACTTATAAGCAGAACCTAATTTAATCAAATAAAATTTTTTATTTACTAAATTAAATAATGAATAAATCAATAATTAAAAAAAGAAAGGAAAAGAAAATCAATCCGTTTACAGAAATCATACACAATTTAATCCTTTTTTTTTTTTTTTTCAAATCAATAACTGAGTTTATTTGTCAGTAATAAAAACGACTTTTTAATATCAAACTATAACTGTAAAAACATTGAATGCTGTAAAAGATTATGAATTACAAATATTTTTTTTTCAGTGCGTAATTTAGATTCTAATAAAAAAGGTTTGAACATAGACGATGATAGGCATTTCACCGGACGGGTCACAGACTCAATGACAACTATTAATTAATTACATCTGAACATTGAGTATTTTATCTGTTAATATAGTATTGGTGTAGCGAGGTTTAATCTTATTCAGAATGATTGCAATTCTTAACTAATCTTTGATTAGTCCGTAATAATTTAAATAAAGTCCGAGAGATTCCGAATAGAAAATCCAGATCGAGGCTAAAGCGTGCGAGAATCGTGTACAAAGCGTGTGAGAAACATGTACAAAGCGTTTCGTGCAGGCTTTTGTGTAAACCGTGCAGCCTTTCGTGCAAAGCGTTTCGTGTAAACCGTGTAGCGTTTCGTGCAAACCGTGTAGCGTTTCGTGTAGACCGTGCAGCGTTTCGTGTAAACCGTGTAGCGAGCGTGTACCGTTCGTGCAGCGAGCGTGTGGGGTAGTAGCACGTTTCAGGGTCTGTAGCATTGGGAAATGAACTTTCTCCATAACCTTTAACCTTGGACCCTGACAGAGATGCTGACATTAGGGGTGTAGCAGAACCTTTCCTGACTTGTCAACATTAGTTAAAAGAGCATTTTTCTATATACAGTACCAATTCTGTTACCTAGTCTGGAAGCAACAACTAGTATATTGTTTTTTATAATGCATCATTATAATAATTATAACAGAAAACATTGCAGACAAAGCTAAAGTCTACAACTATTGGTAGAACATATACACAGAAGGAAGTTTGAATGGACTACTGCCAGGCAATGAACCATGCAGAACCCCTGAAACTGGTTACCTTTCTCAGATGCAGCTTTTGGTTCAGTCTTTTCAATGTGGACTGCAAAGTACTACTTTAGTCAAATATATGTGCCTTTTAACTAATTAACTAAAGATATCCTGTTTATCTTGATAAATATTTTGTTGGTTTATCAATATGTATGATGTTACTCTTTTTCTTTTATTAAACATGAAACCTAAGATCTTCTCTATGTTCACACAGAAACTAATTAAGGTATCAGTAAACCTGAACCAGCTTCAAACTATTAATAAATCAAATTTAGCCTCTATCTCAATTCTTCAATTAAGTTTGAACATTAAAAATATGATCTGTCAAAGCATAATTGATTTAAAGTAATAGTAAGGAGAAAAATATTTTTTCCTTCACATCTACATGTAAGCAGTGTAACTTTTTTGGCAGGCAAATTAAATCAAACACTCCCTCAGCCTATAAATAAAGCATTCTCACTTACTCTGTATAACTATTACAAAAGAAGCATTTATTAATTCTTTAACTTGTAAAACAATGTAAAATATATGTAGAGTATACTTAACCATGTTGCTTTAATCATGTTTGAGATTTTTATTCTATAAAGGACAAGGTGTGGTAAGGGCTGATTTTTGCCCTTTATTTGATCTTTAAATCAGAACACAGTTAAAATTGTGATAGTATGCTCGTTTTAAAATCAACTTAAATTTTGATTTGAATGATACACAAAGACTACAAGAGGGTTACAAAGTAGAACATTTTATCGAATTTCCTCAATTCTGATGGAATTTTGTAAAATTTGAGATTTTTTTCAACTTCAGGAAACAGAGTGTGCAAGTTTGCATGCCTGAAATTTTTATACAGAAGATGTATCACATACTTTTACAAGAAATATATAAATTTGGTAGATAGGCAAGCTTGTGCTTTAAAATTGATGAAAATGCAAATAAAATGAGAAAATTTGAAATTAACTACATTTGTTACCTCCCTTTGACCTCTGTGTATCCTATTTCTTAAAGTCAGTACTTATTTTATAGCAGGGATGACAACAGGTGTTTGATTATGAACTATTGCATTGTTCTAGGAGACCCCTAAAACCTGGGGCCAAAAAGGGGTTTTAGCCTATCTTGTCCTTTACATCCAAGCTGTGTAGAATCTGATTTTAGTTGTTCAAGTTTATCTTAAACATATGCCATATCAATGCATTTTTCTTTTATCAATATAATTAGAAAATGCAGTATAGGTATTAACATTTTTGTAGGTAAGATAATAAGATGACAGATATCTAGTTTATTCTACATATACATGTACAATGTTTATTACCTGGGCCATCAATACCAAGCTCTGTCCATTTCTGTGCCCATTCTTTCTGGTCTTTTTCTGGCCTCTGTAAATATGCAGGAAATAACTAAAGGTACTGTAAGCAACCTCACAAAATTATACACCCTCACACTGCAATTTTTTAAAGTATCATATGCAGTTTTCTAAATGTGACCTTGAACTTAAAAAAAAGACCCATCCTATGGCCTTAGGTAATCCTTGAGTGATATACATGTATAGACATTCAATGTTTCTCCTCTATGGAACCTGATATGAATTTAACACTTTTTCTGCCAGTGACCTTGAAATTATCGCTTGACCTTGGTCAAAGTTATGGCAAACCTTCAATTCACAAATAATCTTCTTTTGAAGTTGGAAATTCCAATACTTATCTATTAGAGAGATATGAACTGGACACATCAGAAATTAATAATTACATTTTCCATTAAAATTTTATTATTATAGGTTATTTTCTCATTTTGTATAAGTTCTCTAAATTCAAGACTATTACCTTTCTAGCAAGTGGTATATTCAGTTCTGTACACATGCTGTTCAAGCTCTTTAGAATTCTCTTTTCCCATCCTTGCTATAATAAAGACAACTTGCTCTCTTTATATTCAGACTGACTCCATATGCAATATCACTCCTCAGTCTAAATACTAGCTACATGTAGTTAGTCCTCAGTGTATATCTGTGATTTCTGACACTCTAAAGTATTAACTCAACAGCACTGAGTTTAAGTAGTATATGTGTCTTTCTACTGTCTTCAGTATGTGGAATTAATACTATACGTTTTGTATATACATGTAATTGTGGTAAGCATTTACATACCAGTACATGTACATGTACTTATAAAAACTGAAAACTCCTTATACATCCTCTAGTATTAAGAAAAAAAGTTAAAAATATATACATTATTTTAATTAATCTACAATGTTTAAAATACATGTACTTTTTTGGAATTGGAGAATGCTGACCTAAACAAAATGATAACTTAAAGTACCTGTGCTTTTCTGAGATACACTAGTGGTTCTTTCAAATGTTCAGCTGGTGGGTTTGGATACTGAAGTTTTGGATGTGTTTGGAGGAACCTGTATATTGCATTCCTAAGTTTCCTGTCCCAGCCTAAAATGTAAATAGAATTAAAAATTATAATGAACAACTAAAATTATTAAAATATAAACAATAAAACTGTTACTGCAAACAATCAAATAATGAATTCATGGTTACAGCAAAGTGAATTTTAATGCCCTTAGTTTAAAAACATATGAACTTACTGGATATTAGGAATTACATTTATACTGAATCACAATTATTCAATCCCTGCACTTTGCTATAAGCATGCTTTACTGTACATGTACGTATAATCAAACACAAACCACAGCTAGAGGAAATATTAGCTTTCAGTGTCAGGTAAGATACGTAATTCAAAAACAGATATATCTCTGTACATGTGGATTTTTTTTTAAAAAAACATTTTCATCTAATTTGATATTTATTGCAAAGATTTTTATTAATAGATAAGCAAAATTTAAGCATCATCAATACATGCACAATATATCCCCTTTTGATTGAGTATTTAAACCTTATAAAATATTGATCATAGTTACTCATGAATGTTGGTGAATGGGTATGAAAAACTAGACCATGTCTGGATTTTGCTTTTCAAAATTTTCTGAGTAAAGGACAGATGATACAGATTTTTGTCAAAAATTATGAAAATAATAACTTAAGTCATTTTCATATAAGTAAAATGAATAGTTTACGTACCCCATAGATTTTTGATTTTTCATTCAAAGTTTCACAATAATGTGATTTAAAGTGACAAAAAAACTTTATAGATTAATAAGATGATTGCAGAATGGTAGAATTTTGAACATCATAGAAAGTGTACAATTTCTTAATATTTTAAAAATTTAATATTTAATCATTTGCAACCCAAATAGGTCCAAAAATATATACCACCAGGCATCCATTTTTTGCTAATATCATCTGTCTTTAACATGTTTATATGCCAATTGTTATCTACTAAGTAACTTTTCATAAAAAAAATTAGATATCTTTTACTCTACTAAAAGTTTTCTAAGAAAAATAAATTGAAAGATTACCAGAGTTTACAAGACCATTTAAAACTCCTTTTTTAAGTTCAGACAACCTCAGGGTAGGTTTTGCTATTTCTACCTGAAATAAAAAAGTAAAAAACTTCAAATTTGTATTTCATTAAACAACCATTATTCCTAAACAAAGTAATTGTGTTTTTAGATTTTTTTCCCTGCATTACAGCAAGCTCTAATGACAACGCCCAAGTGAAGAGAAAATTTGGACTTTGCACATTGATCCAAATGAATTTTTTTCCACAGTAACCTCTGGACCCACGTTTTTAATCCTTTCAGGGTTTGACATTAACTTTTGTGAGTACTAGACCAGTCGGGCTTCTACCCATAGTTTTTACTAGTCCTGACCATAAAATCACTATAGCCCTGACCAAACTTGCAAATTTACTTCTTATAACCTGCTAATTTTAATAAAGTAAGTTTTGAAACCATACTTAATCTGTTAATAAAGACATCGTCTCTTGCATGTGTCAAGATATATTTTGAAGACTTTTCCATAGGTCGCAGCCAATTAAGTTGTGTTCAGCAGGACATGCGAACATTGTAAACCTTAAAGAACATTCAACAAACCTAAATAAAATAATTACCCTAAATATAAATAAGTTAATTAAAGAATACATTATTCAGTAAAGTTTCGACCACAACTTGTCTATTGCAGCCGAGGCTTATAAAAATAGCGATTGTGTATGCAGGAAAATTTTCCTTTACAGAGCAATGTGTTTACAATCGGACAAATAAGGAAATTTCTTTAAAAGTTTTTAGAATATTTATTTGAAAGACTGAAACAAGGGTTAAACATTTATTTAATCCACACGACCAGTCGGTCTAGTTCACGTACATTGTACACAACCGGACCACTCATTTACTAGACTGAGTTTGTAGGACATGCCTTAGTGTCAAACCCTGCCTTTGCAAATTGCATCTCGCCACAAACTATGTTCTCGCAGTAACAACAAAGTTCAACAAAAAATAAGCTCACCTTGATTTAATGGAAATTGCAGATAAATGGTAGATTAAACGTGATGTCAGAGTCTTAAGACATACCAAATGTCATGTGTGGTTTGATGAGATGGATCTAATTTAAAACTGAATAAGTATCTGCGCTCGCCCTAACGGTCGCACTGTCAACATATTACTCTCTTTTGAGAAGAGTGAAAAGGCATAGCCTACATCATGCCTAAAACAAAACCTACATAATGACATGTTAACAATATAACTTGCAATGCATATCAAAACTATTACCTGTGCAGCAAATTGGAGGTCGGTGTAGATTTTGGACGTTTTTAACTCGTCTATTAGATTCTGAATGTAGGCCTTGGAAAAATTCGGATCCCCCATCTTGAGTCCTTAGCAACTACCGCTATCCTACCATTCTTGCACCGAGTTATCACGCCTAAGCAATACTAAAAATAGCAGATGTTAAAAGGTTAATAATGTATACAACTGGATGCTTTTTTCCTTCAAAACAATGCCCAGAGAAGGCAAGATGTTTTCGTCTCTTTCTTTTTGGCCCTAAGAGAAATATACTATTTCTAACTCCATCAGCAGAAGAGTTCTTAATATCGTAAAAAAGATCCTAACCGGTAATGTATCCGGAATAATAACTGGACGTCTTTTGATAATTTAAATTAGAACGGATAATAGACTTTACATCATTTTCCCCCCATACTCCATGATAAAGCTGATTTTAAAAATATTTGAAAATAACCTATTCAAAATGTAAATTTAAAATGAATCTAAGAGTGACCGTAACGTGCACTATAAAGAACACCCAATATGACAGTTACTAGTATATTCAACACGTTGCCATTGACTCAGGACCCCTGGTGTTGTGAGGATGTACAATATTCGCTGTTAGCATTAGTTAAATCAGTGAGGTATTTATTAGTTAATATTTATGTAAAGGGTCAACCACTTGATTTGAGGGGAGGGGGGGGGGGGCTAGCTGGCAGATTTTGGTAATAAATAATCTGTTCTTGAAAAATTGAAATTAAATAATCTGTCCTCAACTGACAAGAAAAAAAATTATCTGTCCTTGACTAGTGCTACTTAACCCCCCACCCCACACCATAAAATAGAGTTTTTGGAGTTTCCTTTTTTTCTGCTTGTCGAACTTTTTTCAGTGAAGAAGAAAATAAATAATCTGTCTTTGATCATCTTGAAAATAAATAATCTGTCCCTACTGGCATGAAAATAAATAATCTGACTCAAAAAATAAAGAGGAAAAAAATCTTTTAAAAATCTGAAAATCAGCTGAACCAATTAAGGTGATTCAGGTGAGCGTTTGTGGTCCATGGGCCTCTATTTTTTTCTTTTTTTAGGGGAGGGGATTTGGGATGGGTGGGGGCTAAATTTCTTAAGTACCGGTAACTATATACAGTGTACTATACTAACTGCATGTATAAATCTATTGATTATTCAGTAGGTATTATTAAATTAATTTAGACAACAAAAAAATTAAGGGTGGTAATATTACTTGCTCCATCTTGAGTTTTGGCTATGCAGGAACATTTTAATTCTCTACTTTGAAGATCAGAACATTTGAGCCATCTGAATTTTATTTAAGAATTTAAAAAAAAAAAACATTAATACCAAGATTCTGAAGTTGTTGTTGCTCTTTGCTTATGTCTTTTTATGATTTTAAACAAGTTTAGTTTGTCTATCAAACAATGCCATATATAGCTGATGCAGTCTGATTAAAAGCAACCCCCACTTCTATCGTCATCAGGGTTCCTGGTGACAATAGAAGAAAGGGGGTTGGTTTTAATCAGACTGTGGCTGATGCTATCCAGCAAGAAGAATGTACCGTTGTCATATATAGTGATACTTCTCCCATTGTGAGGCCTCCCCTAGGAAGACTGGCTATATAGCTTGTCTTCCGCTCTGGAAAAGAGGCATATTAGTGCCTATATAAAGACTCTTCCTCTCTGACCAAAATAGTGCGGCTTTCCCTCTTTTTCCTTGGTTTGGATTTTTTTCGACCATGCTGTTGAAGCTTATGTGTTTGCATGAGGATCCTTTTTATACGTATAAGTCATTTGTTTCTATATATGTACATGTATATGCTTTCTACAACCAACAGAGATGGAGATAAAATTTTAATGAAATGTATTGCAACAGACAGCTGGGAGATTAATCAAGATTTTTCAATCAAAAGTTATACATGTCTTATCATTTAAGTTTATCGAAATCATGTCTTTAAATATTAAGCATATTTCTCATTTTATATACATGTACCATTGCAGGTTTTGATACTCGTTTAAAATTAAGGACCTTCTTTCCATCAATACACATATAATTGGATACATTGTGTCATAGTCTCTAAGGTATAGGTTAAAATTGACTCAACAACACAATCTAAATGCACTTATTGATAATTAAAGAATAGTATAACTTGTTGGTTTGTGACGAATGATTTATTGAATGAAAGCAAATAAATATTGCATGTCAATATATACATATACCATCACAATGTATAAATATAAATTTTTGAAAACAGAATACAATTACAATCTATATATTATAGCAATATGATTTTTTTTCATAGAAAGGTGAAATCTAAACAAAGATTTACTTTCATAATACAACAATTTAAATCATCACAGAAGTTTGCAAACTCCATATTTTCATTTACTGTTGGAAAAGTATTTTTACCTAAAATAATTGCAATCTCTTCATGAGATTTAAAGTTGTGTACCTACAAGTATTGAATTCTTTGAATGCTGTGAAAGGGAAAATACTATTTAATTAATGTCTAGCTGCTATACCTGGCAATTAATTAACCAAAAAAAGATTAATACATAATAATGACATTCGATCCTTTAAACAAAGGATAAGATAGGCTAAGAACCCTTTTTGATCCCTGATTTAGAGTGTCTCTAAGAATAAAGCAACAGTACATCATCAAAAATCTGTTGTCATCCCTGAAATGAGTATTGATTCTCTGTTATAGGATACACAGAGGATACACAGAGGTCACAGGAAGTTCACAAAATATTTCATTTTTCCAAATTTTGCCCATTTTTATTACCGGTATATCTTTCATAAATTTTTAAAGCCCATTTTGTTTCAGGAAACACACAGCACATTAACGTGCCTATCTTCTAAATTTATTTATTTCATGCACTAGTGTCAGATGCACCCTGTGTATAAAAATCTCATATAGGCAAACTTATACATTATAAAGTATCTAAAATTTGACAAAATTCCACCAGGATTGAAGAAATTGGGTAAAATATCCTACTTTGTCATGCTCTTGTGGTCTCCATATACCTACACTTTGAATAAAAAAAAAAGTGCTGGGTTTAAAACAAGCATCTATATCTAAAGTTCTTAATTGCAAAACTATCACAATGTTGACTGTGTTTTGTTTTTGTTTATTTTATATGAAATGAAGGGCAAAATCCAGCCATTACCATACCTTGTCCTATTATATATGTATATGTGTTATAATTAAGTTAATGAGGGACTAAATAACAATCAGGGAAATAATGACTTTAAAAAAAGTTGTCTCAAATATATGTACAACCAGTGCAAAACAAAATATACAAATTTACTTCTTCAATTATCACGCTGAAAATTCAAGTTTAAAGAAGTCTTCAATTCAGTAGCTAAATATTACATGTATTTATTACAATAGAGCATTCAAAAGAAAAACATGATCAACAATGTTTCAAAAAAAAAAATTATCACATTGAAAATCTTCATGTGTACATATGTATGTGTGTTTAACGAAACACTTCAAATCAATAACAGAATATTAGAATATTCCATAAACTTTGAACTTATCAAATTTATTTTCAACAACCATGACAATTCAAGTCATATGATTTAAAGAAAATCCCAAACATTAGAAAGCTTTTGAAGAGGCATTTGCTTTCTTTTTTTTTTATAAACAAAAATTTAATTTGATGAAATTGCTTTGCAATATTTTAAGAATAACCAGTTGCCATCAGTTTTACATCAAATGCCCCTTTCAATCATGCAAATTACAAAATAGTATCATTATTGATTGCGGTTGTAAATATTTAAAATGAATGCAGAGTGAAAATTTATAGCATTTTCATTTTTACAAAATTTAGTTACATGATGTATAGATGTTGTCAAAAAAAACCACGAAACTAGAAGCACCACACATAGAAGCAGAATAAAACCATCAAATAGTCAAAATACATACATGAAACTCAATCAATTAAAAAAAAAAACAAGATGAATGAGGAATACTGGTAGTTGCCATTAATGTTTTAGTTCCTTCTGTCTATAGAGATGTAGAGATGTAAAAATCATGTTTTATCCTTTTGTCTAGAGACAAACTGCACATTTAAGACAACCTCAGAATAATTTTTCATCACAGAAATCATGCAGAATTAGAAAAATACTTCAAACTGTATGGTTTTGTATTCATTTTAAATATGCATCTCACAAAAAGAAAAAAAAAGAGAATATGAAAATGTACATATAAAAAATGAGGTAAATACAGCTAGTAATAACATGAAAATTACATCTACATGTATTTCCATTAGAATACAAATATCATCATTATACATGTACATGTAAGCCGTAAACCTTTGATTAGAATCCCAGATAAATAATATTTATCCCATGTGAGATTCACTTATCTCCCCCTGCCAGACTGGCCAGACACCCACAGAAACAGATACAACAACAGGAGGTGCCCAGGAGTATATAAGTAGCTGTGGTCAGCCAGAAGGCATAGTCATACAGTGTAGGATTGCAGTAGTTGTGATGCCCTGGAATTGTGCTGTATGAGTCATATGTTCTGTAGATCACAACATTCCCTGTCAAAATATATAGTGTTATAGATCACCTACATATATAGGACTTGAATGAATAGTATATTAACATAACTGAAGAGAATTTCTCAAAATGATTTCTTAAAACTAAAAAGTTTAGTCAAGTAATAGCTTTATACTTTGTTAATTATGGAGATGAGACACAATTTTTACTTTGATTAGAAAATAATTTAATTTTGATTGTTACATTTAAACTTTGTATAATTTGAAGTCATTTTTAAGGTTAATCATCTTTTTTTTCTTACACTTTGCGGTTTATAAAGCGTAAACTGCCCCAACCCAGTTTATACCGTATAAAATGGGTAGCTATTAAATTCACTTATTAAGTAATTCCAAAAACTGCATCATAAGCTGAAACTCGATTTGAATGTTCTTCACTCATAGACTTATTTTTGTTTTCCCCTTGTACCATGTATTACAAACCATAAAATTATGCTAAGTGAATGTACATTTAAAATATCTGAAAAGCTTTCTTGGGAATATGTAAATATATTTGTTTATTAATAGTTTTCCATTTACTGTTTCTGCCTTTACTTACCAAAAATAAACCAAACCAATAGGAAACAGTTCAACATTGAATCGAACTTTGTGGTTTTCACATTATCATCTTCTGCATTTTCTCTGTCATTTTTCACTTTCTGACACAGACTTGAAAAATTCTTGACAATTCCAACAGATCCAGCAACAACCAGATACAATGGAATGAGCCACTCAGCAGGGCAGTCATGAAAGTATAAGCTGCCTACAAAAATAATATTTCAAAGTCAATATTTATTAAACGAGTTAGGTAAGGAAAAGCTTTAATTCTCTCTCTCTCTCACACTCATTTCACTTGATTATTTCTCATCAGGGCCTGATTTTCTACAGTTTGCCCAAGACTAAGGTTAATGCTCACTAAATAATACACACAGCTTTATAATTTCTCAGAAGTTTTATCAAGGAGACTTATTAAATTAAGTTTTACCTTGCAAAAAATGGTACCACTGAGGCCATGTTTAAATAAATGTTTGCTTGTCCTTTCCCGACTCAGGATTTAAAAATTGGGTTGGTAAGTAGGGGGAAATTTCTTTTTGGATTCAAAAAACACTTGCAAATATGTTAAAATAGTTATTAATGCTTTGAGAAATAAATTTAAAAAAATATTTTCTGGAGATTAAAAAAAGTTTTGAGTCGGAACATTTTGAGTCAGTTGGCTGGGGGAGGGCAAACAAACTTTTTTTTAGCAACCCCAGATTTCTAATATTTTCTTTTTAATCCTTTTAATTTCATTTATTGCCAAAGTGAACACACTTACCCATGACAATCATGGAGATTGGTATGGCCAGTATAATTCCAAGACAAATGGTACAACCCACTGACGGGAAAAAAAATCAGTTAATATGATCACTTGCATTTGTTTTCATTAATTCTTATTCAGATCTTGTAACACATAATCAACTGACATGTTTTACATATTATCACAATTATATGAATAAAAATTATAAACTTGAAAATTTTAAAAGGTGGTCAAAGGTTAATTTCAGGGAAAAAGGAGTAAGATTTAAAATTAATGCAATTTTTAGTAGGTCCATAATGCAGATTAATATTGATGAAAATAATTTTTTTTCACAAAGATTAAAGAGGAAGTCATGAACTTTGAAAAGTGGTATCAAAATATTTCATCATAGTGTATATTTACATTTGAATCGGAAACCAAAAAAGAACAAGAGGCCCAAGGGCCTTAACGGTCACCTGAGTATAATACAATTTAAAAGTTAAATACACTGATAGATGAAGCATTGTTGCCCTAACCCCCCCCCCCCCCTCCTCAAGAACCCCAAAAACTGAGGCCATATATTTAAAAATTTTGGAAGAGGCATCCTTGTCTATCATAATCATGCACTTAGTTTGTTTAAATAATCTCCAGTATCAGAGAAGAAGATTTTCAAAGAATCAATGCATTTTCACAATATAATCAATACAGCCCCACCCTAACACCAGAACCCCTGACCCTGGGGCCATGAAATTCACAATTTTTGAAAAGGCATCCTTATGCATCATAACCATGCACTTAGTTTGTTTAAATAGTCTCCAGTAGCAGAAAAGAAGATTTTCAAAGAATCAATGCATTTTCACTATATAATCAATACAGCCCCACCCTAACACCAGAACCCCTGACCCTGGGGCCATGAAATTCCCAATTTTTGAAAAGGCATCCTTATGCATCATAACCATGCACTTAGTTTGTTTAAATAATACCCACGAGCAGAGAAGAAGATTTTCAAAGAATTAAAGCATTTTCACTATATAATCAATAGAGCCCCGCCCTAACACCAGAACCCCTGACCCTGGGGCCATGAATTTCACAATTCTGGAAGAGGTCCACCTCCTCATCATAACTATGTACTTAGTTACTTTATTAAATATCCAGGAGCAAAGAAGAAGATTTTCAAAGAATTAATGCACTTTCACTATATAATTTATACAGCCCTGCCCTAACACCAGAACCCCTTACCATGGGGCCAGGAATTTCACAATTCTGGAAGAGGCACTCTTGCTCATCATAACTATGTACTTAGTTACTTTATTAAATATCCAGGAGCAAAGAAGAAGATTTTCAAAGAATTAATGCATTTTCACTATATAATTTATACAGCCCTGCCCTAACACCAGAACCCCTGACCCTGGGGCCATGAATTTCACAATTCTGGAAGAGGCACTCTTGCTCATCATAACTATGTACTTAGTAACTTTATTTAATACCCAGGAGCAGAGAAGAAGATTTTCAAAGAATTAATGCACTTTCACTATATGATCTATATAGCCCCACCCTGGGGCCAGAACCCCCTTACCCTGGGGTCATGAATTTCACAATTTTGGAAGATGCACTCTTGCTCATCATAACTATGTACTTAGTAACTTTATTTAATACCCAGGAGCAGAGAGGAAGATTTTCAAAGAATTAATGCACTTTCACTATATGATCTATATAGCCCCACCCTGGGGCCAGAACCCCCTTACCCTGGGGCCATGATTTTCACAATTTTGGAAGAGGCACTCTTGCTCATCATAACTATGTACTTAGTAACTTTATTTAATACCCAGGAGCAGAGAAGAAGATTTTCAAAGAAATAATGCATTTTCACTATATAATCAATAGAGCCCCGCCCTAACACCAGAACCCCAGACCCTGGGGCCATGAATTTCACAATTTTGGAAGAGGCACTCTTGCTCATCATAACTATGTACTTAGTAACTTTATTTAATACCCAGGAGCAGAGAAGACGATTTTCAAAGAATTAATGCACTTTCACTATATGATCTATATAGCCCCACCCTGGAGCCAGAACCCCTGACCCTGGGGCCATGAATTTCACAATTTTGGTAGAGGGCTCAATGCTTATTACAATCATGCCAACAGTTTGACTGCTTGATGTCCAGGAGTAAAGAAGAAGATTTTTAAAGATTGCATTATTTTTGGTGGTTTTAGTCCCACCCCTCAGGCCCCAGGGGGGGGGGGGGGGCAGGGACCATGAAATTCACAATTTTTGTTCTCCTTCACCCATAGATGCTATATACCAAATTTGGTTGAAATTGGTTGAGCGGTTCTAGAGAAGAAGTTAAAAATGTTCAAAAGTTAACGAGGTTCGCTCCTGAGCTTTTGAGCAGATTTTTATTTTAACCTATATTTAAAAAAATATGCGTAAAGTTTTAGTTCTTACAATAAGTTTGGATTCTACAATGCCAATTAAACTATATTCAGTTAAAACTCCATGATTAAATTCCATACCAAAAGCATTAAGTGAGGAACTATATTTTGTGGCGGAAGGTTTTTTTAGAAGAAAATGATCATTTTTTCTCTTTCGAAGTATTTAAAGTATGTTAAGTTTGGATTCCTATTTTTACATGCAGTCTGCACACAGAATTATTTTGAGCAGTGAACTGTTTTATACTGGTCCTAAATTATATATTTAATAAACTGTCATGAATTCAATCATCATATTTGATAAATAAATCAAATATATTGTGAAAATCAAGAAAAAAAAATAACCCTAATTTAAGCTCAAAATTAGCACTATTTTAGTAATATCTAAAAATTAACATCACAGACCCCACTTTTAACTTTCTTTTCTGAATATACAAGATACTTTTAACCATTCTTCTTAAATTCAGTAAAATGTCATTACTTTTAAATGAGTGTTTGCTTGTTAAATTTGTAATGCTAGCAAAATGAAATTTTTTGAGTGCAAAAAGGTCAAATAATTGAACGTGCGGAGTAATTAAAAAAAATTTTTCGTTGTCAAAAATTTTAATGGGTCTATTCAAGATGAAATAAGACTGTGTTTGTTCCCATAACTTATTTGAATAAAAAATATCGGAGGAAAAACTTTAAAAAATGATTTATGTGGAAGACGTTTTTACAGTGCAAAAAGGTCAAACTAAATGCTCTGTAGCGCAAAAAGAAGCGCATTGACTCCAATTTTTGGTTTTGATTTTTAATTAAGCTATATGTATAAATTCTAAAAATATACTTGATAAAAAATTCTCATTACTTTTGATGTCAGGATCCAACCTCCTTAATGCACGACGGACGACAACGGACAAAAACAGATAGCAATAGGTCACCTGAGTGACTCAGGTGACATAAAAAAAAATTATGGACAGCTAGTTATCATGCAGCTTATATTCTTACTTTTTTTCAATTTCAAGATCATTATTAGATAAATGTAAAATTACATGTATTCATGAAGAAGATATGTAAATGTACATATACTGAATATAATTTACCAAACATGCAGTTTGAACTTTGAAAATGATAATAATAGGTCACCTAAAATCAAACAAATGAAAAAAGCTATACAAAATTAATAGACTGACTGTCAAATAGTGTAAATTCTACTTTGTTATTTGGTCCAAAATAAATCTTAAAAAAAGGATAGTACACATATAAAATTTATATTCCCCACATTTTACCAAACCTAGAATTGATAAATTTGTGAATACTTACAAGTTCCCATGATAATTGTCAGGACTTTCTTGAAGAACTGTGGTTTGCTTTCTGATTGAAGCTGAGCTGCCTTGACACGTCCATACAGGGATTCATAGGATGGAGGGGGCTCTATCAATAAAAAAAAGTACCATGCATATAAATGGCCGTAGTACTATATACAAGTACTGCATTGAATATGCTTTCAGTTACATATAATCTATTAGGAGATATGTAAAACATTTACTTATCCTTCACCAACTAGAAAAGCACCTTTGTTCATGTAATATGAGTTTGTATTAATTTTAATAAGTATATGCACTGTTAATTATTCATGGAAGTAAAATCATGAAGCCATGCATACACTGACATTATATGACATACACAATAAAGAGGTAAACTAATGACCCTACCACTGGGTGTAGCTGTCTGACTCTCCGGGTCAGAGTATCTTGGAGGCTGGGCATCCAAACCTTTTATGGACTGATTCTCTCTGTTAGCTTGTTCATAAGAAGGAGGGGCACCAGGAGATGCCTGTCATAAATTATAAAAAAGGCTTGGAATATAATTGAGCATGTATGTAGATGTTTCTAACATGGACATTTTAGCTGATACCAGTCAACAAATTATTGCTCAATCATTTTATTAAAGTCAGTGTTTATGTTAACGCATATTTCTGTGTAATTTACACATTAAAATATTTTTTTACCCCCTAAAACATCACCCAAAGGGTCATTATGATGAAGAAAAAATATGAAAACAAATTTTAAAAATTGATTTCAATATCGTTGCCTTGATGGAACCAGTTTATTAATTTACAACTTTCTATGAATAAATTGTTGCTTTAATTTCAAAGTGGCAGTGACTGGAATCAGCATTTCAACGTCAACAATCTACCGGTATTAAATTTTTTGAACAATCTACCTAATTCTTAACAAAACCAGAAGTCTGAATAAAGAATATCGCATCTGACATCGGCATATTTATTTTAGCTTGGCTTTGTAAAAAAAGATATTTTGATGGTTAAAGAGGTGAGCAAGCTCAAATCATTAATAAACGGTTTTGCAAAACATTCAAACAGCTTTAAAATGTTCTCTTTTGATTGACATGTATTCCGCAAAACCAAATGACGGAATCATTTTAAAAAATGTGTAAATTAAAGAAGTACAATTATATTTTACTTTCATTTTTTATACATCAAATTATGATTTTAGAAAACAAAGCTAATATAAGAAATGAAAGCAAAACCAGAATATATTTTGACCCTCAAAATTTCCCTTTGACTCCCAAAAGTTTACTTCAAAGGGTCATAATGACCCTTGGTTTTCAAAATTAGCGGAAACACTGAAAGTATTCTAGGTACGGTGCTAGGAATATCCCTCATGGTAAAATTGGCTATAAAAGTGTACGGAGAACAATTTCATTCTAGTAATCACCACCTAAACCCTTTATCTATCCCAACTAATTCATTTTTAGGGGGATTCTACTTTTTTGTGGGGGATTCTTCTTCCTGTAGCGGGATTCTCCCGAAATCCCGGGATTCCTGATATTCCTAGCACCCTTCTAGGTATCATGATACTAAATGCTTGAGTTAGTCGTTTAATGCAGCAATTGCCAGGGAAATGTCTATTAATAATATTATTTTAAAATGCATAATGGAAATAATTAAAGCAGAAAAAATCTCGGAACAAAAAAGTTTTGTGACCCATTTGTACTTTTTATCTGATGTTTATATATACAAGCATAGTTTGAAGTTAGCTATCAGAAGGCCTACATGTGGATAATTATTTATTTGTCATAAATTTCTTTGGTAAAGTTGTATATTTCCATTAACCGACTTACCATCTTTTAAAGTGGAGTTAAGTAGCCTTAAAACTCTATAATTTCAAGGTAATTACGGTATAATTATACAGTTACTGAGCTAGGGATTTCCTCATTCCTTTTTCTATTTTTAGTTATTGATATTTAGAATAACGAGCCCGATGCAAACAAAACTCGGTTTCAGCATCTCCTGAACAGCTGCTGAAAGAAGTGAAAGAATTTGTAATCTGTGCAATTTAGGAGAAGTGGGTGATGAGTCCCATTATTTGTTCAGTTGTGTCTACTTTAAACAAGAAAGATATAACTTTTTACCCATTGATCTATGCAAGAACAGAAATATTATTAGTTTTTCTGATCCCATGAATATAGCCATGATAAATATGTTCTTATTGGACTGAGTAAATACTGTAAAATTGTCATGTCAGTTTTTTAAGCAATGAATACAACCATTATAATATTGTCTTCCAACACCTGTAACCCTTGTACATATGTTTGTTCCTATTTTGTTGACTATAGTTTTAGAAGTTAAAAAATTGTGTTATGTTAACTTTGTACTCTTATGCCTCATGTGAGACCTTGAGTGAATAAAAAGTTTCAAAGTTGAACATGCATATGTATGCATATATATGATATATATATATATATATATATATATATATATATATATATATATATATATATATATATATATATATATATATATATATATATATATATATATATATATATATATATATAAAACATATATTTTTGCTCAGAATATTATATTCTAAGCAAAAATTTATATGTACATGTATAAAACTATCTGGTTTATTCCTCCTTTTTATGTCTTTTTTTCCCTATGAATCATAACTCTGTATGTATATTGTACTACTACATTTTTATGAAAATATAGGTGTTTACAATGTACTTTCTTTTTGCCCCCTGTGGGCTCTTAATTGGTAAATAAACAAATTGAATTGAAATTAATTTAATTGAAAATGTACTTTCATGTTTGTTTGAATATAATAGTTTTTATGAGTATATATATCAGCAGTTTTCTACCGATTGTGCAACCATTTTGAATAGATTTCTGCACTTTGTAAAACATATACAGTTTTTACTAATCGTTTCAATTGTATTGCTCATGCATGAAAAACTAGTCCATACTCCTGAATTAATACAGGCGCTGATTAAGGAATTTTTTCCAGGGGGTCCACCACAGTAAAAAAAATTCCCATCCCGATAAATAAAACGTAAAATCCATTTCCCAAACGCGAAAAACGTGTGGTGGTGGTGGATCCATATTTTCCGGGGGGGGGGGGGGGCGGGGGGAGTCAAAGAAATTTTTATTTCTTTCATTATATTACTACATACTTTAAATAACTCTTGCAAATTCCGGACCCCCCCCCCCCCATCCGCGCATGTAACATATCTTGACCACGTAATGGCTTTATTTAATGTAACAAGTGAATTAGTAATGCATGAAAAGTGGAATAAAATAATTTCATGTCAAGACCCAGGATCCTATATCTACATGTACATATAAGGAAGCTGAAACCCGGACAAATCTGCCTCACCTGCATACAGAGGATATTAATAACAAAACATCATCATCACCTGCATATGGGGTTTATGTCTCTCAGCTGATTCGATACGCAAGAGAATTTTTTACATATAAGTACAATCAATTTCTAAAAACAAAAACAGGCTATTGACAAATAAGTTTATGATATAGGGATATCAACCATTTCGTTTCAAGTCTACATTTCGCAAATTCTATGGTCGATACAGTTATGTTGTTTGCTAATACAGTCTGTCGTTAGGTCGAATGTTGACTCATATTTTTCAAACAAATTGTTAGACCACCATTTTCAAACTGAATTTTCTACAGAGTTTTCCGTTTACCCGAAAATAACAAGAGACCCCGGCGTGTGTGACTGGTCGACAGGATATTTACTCCTCCATGGCACCTGACCCTACCTGTGTTGATTCTGCTCACAATTTGTATTGTTTAATTGTACATTTTGGCATGGCTACTGTTCGTTATATTCACATTCCATGTAAAACAAAGAAAGCGTACCTTGATTGCGGAGGAATAGATGAGAAAACTTCCTCATTATTTAATCCTATAAAATTGGGCAAAGAACTGCTGACAAAGAAACATAAATTATTCAAAATTATTAATGCTTATCACCATAGATTATGAAAAAATTATAAACACGATATAATTGTTTATTCATTTTTCATTTCCATTTTACAAGTCACATAGAGTGTCTTGTCTGCTAAGCATATTTAAATGTACGACATTAATTATTGAAGTGCATGTGTAATGCGAACACTTTAATGCCAGCAAACAGTTTATATAATATCTTGCGTAAATGCCCTAATTTTTTTTACTCAAATCATATTATTACTTCATACTACTACATGTGTATATTTTTGATATATCAATATTTATTATTTCAACTGATGAGTTTCATGTATCCCCTCAGTTTTCGACCATGCCCGTAAACTACAACTCGTCTCTATTTGTTGCCATCGTCAGATACTCCTTGGAGAAAGCTTCGTATATTCTATCGGGATCGCTTGTAATAGGCATCGATATTTTGGCAAAATTTAAAGCGTTCTCTTGTTCTTTTTTAAATTCTGGATTTCTGGATGCCGATTCGTAAAAGGCGACAACGTCCTTTACAGCCTCCGAAAACGGAATGGGATTCCAGTTCAATTCCTTTTCTGCAAACGATATATCTATTGGTCCCATGGTCACTGTGGGATAAAATCTGAAGCCTAATTCTTCACCACAAATGATTGAAACATCTTTCTTATTCAATTCAGTTTTCATCATCTCAAACACTTCCAAAAGGGTTGGATTTTCCCGGAAGGCCAAGTTAAATGCCTTTCCTTGAGCAAAATTTGATGGGTTTTGCGAACATATGTGGAGGATTGCGTCAGCTACATCATCGGAATGCACTAAACTTAACGGTGTCTGACACTGGGATTTAGAGAGTCTAACGTTAGACTCTAAGTGAGCACTGAGGCTGATCTGTAACTGATATAACCACCAGCGGTACGTATTATCTCGAGGACCAATGACATCGGGTAATCTTAGAGATACGAATGGTACTGATCCCCACTTCATGCTCTGAAATCTAAGTTCCTCCTCGCATAAAAGTTTCCTGTGGCCATAACCATCTTTTTTAGCATACTCCTCGCGTTGAAGAACATTCTTTGGTCTGATAGCATCGGTTTCACGTGTATACCCGTCATGACTTTTGTTGCAAACCTCATAGACAGAATCAGAACTTATGAGAATATACAAACCGATTCTGTCTTGGAATATGTCGAAAACATCTTGAATTTGAAATCTGTGAAATGCACTGAAATCAATCACTACATCAAACTTAGAATTGTACAATACTCTCAGGTCTGTGCAGTTTTTAAGTGGCTGCAGACGATCACAAATCACGTGACTTACACGTGGCTTGATTTTAATGCCAGAATCCCAATACCAGTTTCCTCTGTTTACTACAGTGACGTGGTATCCTCTGAGAAGAAGTTTCTCAACTAAGGAAGATCCCATAAACCCATTACCACCAAATACCAACACCTCTGGTGCATTATTTCCCAGTTCTTCACAATTATCAAATTTCAAATATTGCAGCAACAGCACAAATAAAATAGATTTGCATCCTGCAAAGTAGGTAAACATCCCGGCTTATCACGGTGGCCTCTAATAATAGTGAACGCGTATGAAATATACAGGGTTGCCTAAAAATAAAATCCTGCTTTAAATAATATTATGTGAGATGTCCGATGTGTGTCCGGATATGGTCATTCACAGAGCTATAATATCTCATATATTCATTAACATTAATATTTAAGTTTGATATGTAGTTTTATAAATTAATATAACTTTGCATCCTCTTATTGTTTCCTGTTCTATTACACATTATAAGTTTATGTTCTGAGGTGACGGATTTGAGGGGGGAGGGGGGCACGCCCCCTTAAAATTTCCAAAAATTAGGTTAAATGTGTATGCATATAAAGTAAAACTGAGCAAATCAAAATATGAAAATTGAAATGGACAAATATATAAAGCATAACATTTGGCACCCTTACAAAAGCAGCATTACAGTGTACATAGATTTAATTAACTTTTCAAGCTATCTATATCATCGAAGAAAATCTATTTCCACAATTACAGATCTGCCATCAGCTTATAACTTTTTGATACCAAAAAACATTCTTAAGATAATATAACCTACTAAAGATGTCAATTTACTTGTATCACAAATTCTTTTGTATAACCTCGGAAAGTGAAGAATGATTTTGTTTACACGTGAAAATGGCGATCCTGGATCGGCAAGAATTAAATGCACTTTCTCTTCCGTTGCTAATGAAAGCAATTTGAAGAATTTCTTTGGAAAATAGAGAAACACCATCAATTGAGAAAATTAAAAAAAAAAAAATTGACATAAAGTACACTGAGATGTAGTCTGATGTAGGAAAACATGTCCAAAAGTGGCTTACATATTGCATGTGTAGCTCTTTGATCTGCCGTCTAATTTATTTTTTCTTCGAGTTGTGCAGCTAATTGTAAACATGTATATCAAAAAGCAGTTTAGTTTGAATGTTTTTACGTTTATATCATAATTAAGATGAAAATAAGTGTTCGACTAAAATGATACTCATAATTTTAACTTTTTTATACCAAAGTTTCAAAGTTTATTTGAAATTTAAAGATACTGAAAATAATTTAATGTGACTGTATTATTTTCCTTACATTGTCTCCGTCATTCTGACTCGGGAATCATGATTTTTTTTTTTTTTGGGGGGGGGGGGGTAATATTTCCTAACATTATTTGCATGTCTATTGAATACTACAAAATTGAGAAGACATGCATTGACTCAAGAGGTGTCATGAACACGATTAAAAGGGGGGGGGATGCATGATGAAAGACAGGAAATGTCTTAAATACAAGAAATATAAAAATGTGTGCTCAAATTACAGCTCAAGGACGAAAAAATAAGTTTGACTAGAAGTCAGCAGGAAATTCTCTGATGAGTAATTTTGCAAAGTTTGATTATTGATACCCAAAATGTGTTTGTGTTTTTAGGAAGACGTCTATCTACACGTATGAAGTTTAATACGGTTAAATTTTACTTTTAAAATCAGTAAAATTCACGAGCTTCCGGGACTTCGCCTTAAGGAGACCCCCTGCCTCTAAAAAATGTCATGTCCTCAATCTAAATTCCTAAATCCGACCCTGAATAGTGCTGATTATAAAAAATCCGCTAGCTGCAAAATTCGATCATTTGCAAGGGTTTAGTTTGCCTGAATGCTGCTCATGAGTAAAGAAGATTTTATAAGATATATATGATGCATTTTTAATATATGATCAACTTAAATTTGCCTCAGCCTGGAGCCTGAACCTCGAGCCCAAAAGGGGGGGGGCATGAGCTGAATTATTATAATCAACACTGAGTTAGACAGCTTAAGTCACATAATGTACACTTTTTGAAGCATAATTTTTGTATGGCTTTTGGTATTCGTAATAAGTAATGATTAAAAACTTTTATTTTTCATATATTAGGAACCTGAGAGAGAGAGAGAGAGAGAGAGAGAGAGAGAGAGAGAGAGAGATTTTAAAGCGAAACTAGAATTTAGATAATGCATCATGTTTACAACTTGATGTGACGGTCGCCTCAGTATTTCCTCCGGAAATTACTTAAGATATACTCAAAGGTGTCAGTAAGTAAATAGATATACATGTATATATCTTTTTTATTTACGTTATACATGTCAGAGAGGTATAGTTTATATCCATTTCTAAACATATATTAATGCAAGTATTCCTTTTCATTTGTATTGTTAAATCGAAAGTAGTAGCTAGAATACTTCCCTTATGCACCCCATTTTAATCTTTAATTTCCTCGACATTCTGCACTGAAGAAATTAGAAATTCTAACAGAAAGTGTAGTGCAGCAGTATTGCACGTCTCTTTCTTCCATAGGGGGAGAGGGGGGGGGGGATCATGACTTTGGGAAAGTTTTAGAAATCAACATTTTGCCTACAAAAGATAGAATGATATGGCCTTAATTACATGTAATGTTCCATTCAAAATTAAATATTGCTGTCTCTACATAAATGTCATGTTGTAAATTTTCAATTTACTAGATGGGGCTACACTGTACATGTAATTAATTTATAATGCTTTACCAAACTACTACATGTATTTATCATGTAAATTGTTATAGATATTCCGGGTCTCTAAATTTGTAAAGCAAATAAACTTCACTATTAAAAGAATGAATTTATACACGTTATCATTAGAAAGATTTGTATGTGCATGCTGTTTGATGTTTCCGATCAGGAGTGGATCCAGATTTCTGCTACATAAGAGGGGGGGGGATAGAAAGGAAGGAAGGGATGCATTCAGAGCACCACATGAGAACAAAAACATAACAATCAAGTACAATATTTAAATATTTCTGTAATTTCATATTGCTTAAGTTGGCTTGTATATTGACCATATAAAGTTTGTAAATCATGATGTACTACCATACAATATTTTATTTTATTTGCTTCTTATACTTTTTTCAATGAATCTGTTACTCTACATGCATGGGACAGAAGTGGATTTTTGTTTATATTTAGCACCAACTCTTGCTGGCTTTTGTGATATAAGACATACATACCGGTGTTGTAGAGTAGGTTTCCCCCCATAACCAGCTCCCCCCCCCCCCCGGAATCTGTACTCCAGAGTAGAATTTCCCCCCGAGGGAAAATCTCACACCAGAGCCAAATTTCCCCCTCTTACTTTCTCAGAGTAGGATTTCCCCTCTTTTATCAATGCTTATACATCATATCGACAATAATGTAATAAAATGTTTATACGAAAGCCACTAATTTTTCTTAAGGAAATATTGGTCAAGAATTTTCGAATTTAGTATGAAATCTTAAAATATATAGTTTGAATCATACACGTGTAGTCTCAACACAAAATTCTAACTTATGGGAAATCATAAATTAGTCTCTTCAAAAATCGTAAGACTCGATGTCTCAACACCCTCTCTCGGCGCAGCGGTATACATGTGTTTGCTAACGATTTTTAAAATAATATCAGGGCACTTTTAGTGATTTGATAATTTGCTTGTCCTCTAAACGCCCAGTATTTCATCTTATAAATACTTCCTTTTTACAAAGTATGTGAGAAAATTGTAAAATTTACGCTATTGATGGGTTCCCTGTGTCATTTTGTGAGTACATGTATTTTAATTGAATAGTTCTTGAAAGGGAAAACAAGGCTAAAACCATAAACACTACAATGCAAGAAACACTGCTTTTGCAAGCCAAAGCATAAATATGTACCCTCGACCCAAGAAATGTAATATTGGATTTGAGAGCAGAGAGCAAATAATCTCTAAAAGATTTGCAAATTTCAAAGTTTTAGAAATAATGCCCATTTTTAGTTCCATGGCAATATTTAAACACCAGAATTTTTGAAAGACAATTCGTAAGAATAAGATTTTAATGCTTCAAAAATTTAGTTGGGCGGTTAAAAATGAGATTTAAAATTTTTATTTTTTATACTTCGTATGTTTCAATAGAACTGGTGGTCATTTTGAAGAAGCGACACTAATTTGTCCCCTTTCCCCACATACATAGAACAGCTATGATATTTAGGGGGGGGGGTGATTTTAGAGGGGAAAACCTACTCTACAAGACCGGTATGTTACAGGAATTCATTGCATGTAAGCCTGAAATACCCCCCCCCCCCCCGTTCCCACTGACTTTGTACAGACAATAGACAAAAGTTCATTTTCATTCAAGAAAGAAAGAAATTAGTCCAAAATGGAACTTGAAAACATCATTAAATGACCCTATTTGGTCCCAGGGTGAAAATGAGAATTAGGAAACCTTATTGCACATCTGCAGAACACATCCAATCAACCTGCAAAAGTTGAAAATGCTACTGCCTAAGATGTGTGAGGAGTTCTGGGAAACGGGTTACGTTGTTTTTCGAACCCCATTTGGCCTCAAGGGTGAAAATGAAAATTCTAAAACCTTATTGCACATCTACAGGACACCATCAATCACCTTCCAAAAAATGATTTGCTTACTATTTACAATGCACAAGGAGTTCTAGGAACCAGGGTTGTTTTGTAGGGGAAAAACGTCATTTTCGACCCACATTTGATCCCTAGGACGAAAATGAAAAATCCGAATACTTATTGCACAGCTGCAGGACACTAGCAATCACCTTCCAAAAGACGATTTGGCTACTGCGCAAAATGTATGAGGAGTTCTGGGAACCAGGGTTATTTTGTCGAAGAAATGTCATTTTTTGACTCCAATTTGACTCCTAGGGTGAAAATGAAAATTCTGAAACCTTATTGCACACCTAGCGGACAGCACGAATCATCGTCCAAAAGATGATTTGGCTACTGTGTAAATTGTAAAAGGAATTCTTGGAACCAGGGCTCTTCTTAAAAAAAAAAAGTTTTTTGATCCCCATCCCCAATCCCGTGGGAAAATGAAAATTCGAAAACAATAGTACACGTTTACAGGACACGAGCAATCATCCTCTAAAATGATTTGGTAACTGCGAAATTTTTTATCTATTTTTTTTTTTTTTTTTTACAAACCTTTCCAAAGGAATACCTTGCACGTACCGCACCTTTTAATTACCAAACACCGCCTTTTGATCCTTTTAATCAGGCTGAAACTGAGGGGATATATATATATATATATATATATATATATATATATATATATATATATATATATATATATTTATATATATAGCCCCAGTCCCAGTTTTGTCAGTCTGATTAAAACTATCTAAGGCCTGTATAATATTTCCTAAAACGACTTCAAAAAAAAAAAAAGTTGGTTTTTAATTTTACATGTAGACACTAGTATTTAAAAGTAACTTTTTAAATTTTATTTTAAAAATTTCCATTTATATCTTTTTTTTTGAAGGAACGACAATGAGTTTCTCGTTGCCAGTTTTAGTGGCAGCTATTGACTTTGGTACAACCTTCTCTGGGTATGCATTTTCATTTCATCACGAATTTGAACAAGACCCTCTAAAAATCAGCACCTGTAACTGGATAGCTGGAAATCAATCCTTGATATCACTAAAGACACCGTCTGTGATTCTGCTGAAGCCAGACAAAACCTTCCATTCTTTTGGATACGAGGCAGAAAACAAATACGCTTCTCTAGCAGAAGACAATGAGCATGAGGGATGGCTGTATTTCAAACGCTTCAAGATGACTCTCCATAAAAATAAAGTTTGTTTAAAATCATTTGCATTGATGGAAAAAAAACCCTATTTTTGTTCTATTCCTTTGCAAGGAAGAATATATTTTAGAAACGAGTAGCGATAGTTTAAGAAATAAAATGTGTGTATTATTTTTTTTATAGTGCTTACCCGAAATATAAAGAAATTGATAATTAATTTTACAGAGTCTACGACGAACCACCACAATAAAGGATATAAATGGAAAGGAAATGCCTGCGATGACTGTATTTACGATGGCCATAAAGTACCTAAAAGAGCACCTGATGAAAACTTTGACAACCCGAGTGGACACTTTTACTGAGGACTTAATTCGATGGGTACTTACTGTACCAGCCATTTGGGATGAAGGTGCAAAACAGTTCATGATGGAGGCGGCAGTAGACGTTAGTATTGCTTCCGAATTGATAATTTAAGCCTAATTTCTACATCCATCACTTGACAGGTGGTATAAAGATACGAGGGGTGATCAGAAAGTTCGCGAACTATCTCTATATATTTACCACAATTCAGATCAGAATGAAATTTGGCACACATATAGTCATACACATATTCTATAAATGGCAGGTGTTATATAATGTTTTGCTCCGTGTTTGTGACGTCACAATGTGAAAATGACGTCAATATGTAGGTGACTTGTGACAAAAAATGGTTAACTCAGTCGTACTCGAGCAACGAACGGCTGTAAAGTTTAACGTATATCTTGGAAATTCCTTTCTAGTAGAATATGATAATTTGTACAAGGTTTATGAAGACAAAAGACTTACCAGAAGTTCAATCATTAATTGGATTGATTGTTTTAGTGAAGGCAGGGAGATGGTTAAAAATGATGTTTGTTCTGTTGCCTAGCAAAAGCAAGCCGAGGTAAAGATGTGTCCTTAGTTGAGCACTTTGTTATAAAAGATCGCAAAGTTACAATTAGAAAAATAGTTGAATATCTTAACAATAATATAATTATCAAATCCCTAAAATATCGTTTACTTTAGACTTTAAACATATGAGATTTGATAAAAAGAGTTCGTCCATACTGTATCCACATTGGATAAACGACGTTCCCGAGACAGAGGACTCGGGTTTTGATGATCACTATGCTAATTCTGGGAAGGGATGTCCTTATCCACCCATCCTATTGCCGAGATTTGGCCATTTCTGACAGATGGACTGTTCTTGTTATAAAAAATAACTTGCATGGTAAGAAATATAAGACTCGGAAAAATCTTTTAGCTTCTGTGAACAGAATGACCAAGGAGCATGTCACGTTACCGCCTGGATCACGTGATTCGCGCATGGGCAGAACAATGGCAGATGTGCAGCATTGAAACCTCATTTTATTTCTTTTAAGGAAATAAATCAGTTCGCGAACTTTTTGATCACCCCTCGTATATGTACTTCTATATTAGCATTTCTTGCTGAGTTTAATATTATATCTTACACACTTTAAGGCCAAGTACCATCAGGGACAGAGTTTTGCAACCTAAAAAGTTGGTAGTGGTGACATTATTTAGAATTTTTTTTTGCTACTCATCTAGTCAAATAGTATCCAAATATTCGTCCCTTGATGTCACATGTTCTGATGGCAACAACTCCGATCCCGCAGACAAATCGGTGACATCAAACCTATTTTGCATAATGGTAGAAATAAAATCAATTTACAAAAAAATTAACAATCTTTAATTTGCAATGATTGCACGACTAATTAAATTAAAGAATGTCAATTGTCAATAAATGACAATTAGTAAAGAGCACATGTGGAAAGTATATATCACCTTAAAGTACACTGTGACTTTTTAACCATATAACAAATGGTGCCCAGGTCATTTTGTGCACTATGTAGAACCTAGGTGTGTCATTGATCCAAAAGAAGGGTACTGTAACCTCATCAATTCTGCTGCTATACATAGCAGGCTTGGGGCAAATTACGTTGTAAAGTAATGCATTACATTGCCATTTTTTCTGGAATTTTGGCATTAAATTACCATGACCATTGCTCTACTTTCTATAAGAAACGTATTACTATTACCGTTATATTTGGGGTTTTTCAAAAATAGGAATACAATAGTTGTGCAACTATTTTCAAACACGACCACTCCTTTAAGAATAAATGTGATGATTGTTGTAATTCAATTTTGATTATTAACTACACATATTTATTACAACTGTAAATAACTTAAATATATTCTGTGTATCCATAAAGAGAAACTTTTCAATTAACAATAATTTAAAATAATGTACACTTTGTGTAACTATTGATATCAGATAACAAAAACATTTGGAGCACTTTAACCCCTTTCCTAACTATTTGAAATAACTCAAGGGTCAAGGTTATGTAGTCAAAAATGTGTGTACCCAAAGAAAGGTCTTGTCAAAAGGAATATACATGTGAAGTCCTAGAACTCACCGTTCAAAAGATATGGCCAAGGTTAAAGTTTTTTTCAAAAGTTATGTTAAAAGTTCAAAGTCGAAAGGTAAAAAATGTCTCTAATTTAAGAAATACCCATACATGTACTGATTTTGCGGCCAAAAAGTGAAAGGTTAAATGACAAATTTATGTAGGGTATGAACTATGGAATTATCTCTATAGATTTCGAGGTAAAAGGTCTATTGTTTTAAATATTATTACCGGATAATACCTCCAAGTAAACCTCTGTCCATAAAAGTAGAACATTTCAGTGAATCGTTCTTGTGCTGTTTAGTGAAGTACACAAACATGATACTAACTGCCTTACCTATGACGTTAAGTGTCTAAAGCATAACGAACTATGTGATTTATTAATTTAAAGGCTGGTATTGAAAGGAAGCAGTTACTTTTAGCCTTGGAGCCGGAGGCGGCCTCCATTTATTGTAATCACGTCCCCATAGGAGTTATGTCCGTTAATAAGGAAAAGACTGAATCGTACAAGTTCAAACCAGGGACACGATATATGGTACTGGATTTGGGAGGTGAGAGAGGAGCCTAACTTTAAAATACGTCAAAACACCAATATGTTGGAGACAAAATATTTCGTTTGCCTTTACGAAGTTCTGAAAAAAGAACTGCTGCTCAGTTAGAATTATTTTTATTTTTTGTTGTAAATTTAATTCTTATTTTTGTAGGAGGAACTGCCGATATTACAGTGCACGAAGTACATTCAAATCAGAACCTGCGCGAAGTCCACCATGCAACCGGCGGAGCTTGGGGTGGAACAAAAGTGGATGACGCCTTCTACCAATTTTTGGTGAAGCTTTTTGGAAATGATGTACTTACAAAGTTAAAGACAGAGAATATGGACGATTATATTTCACTTTTTCGTGATTTTGAAACAAAGAAACGTACAGTCAGACCAGACTTAGAAGATAAGGTGACCATAACGCTCCCATTTCGTCTGTTAGAGATATTTGAAGAAGAAACAGGAGAAACATTGACAGAGGCACTGCCACAGACGAGATACGCTAAAAAAGTCATATTTAAGGCTGGAAAACTGCGGGTACATCCCGACATTTTCAAAGATTTCTTCAAAGATACACTACAAGGTATAATACAACACATAACAGAAATTGTGAGCTCGTTTGAAGGAGATTCTTTATCAAAAATTCTTCTTGTTGGTGGATTCTCCGAATCGCCTATGGTTTTAAAAGCAATAAAAGAATTATTTCCCGACAAAAAGGTAATAGCACCAGCTGATCCAGGACTGGCAGTCTTAAAAGGGGCTGTATTGTTCGGCCATACGCCATGCGTCATTTCTTCAAGAATCAGTCGCTATTCTATTGGATTTGAAGTCAATGTCCCCTTCATTGAAGGCTTGCATCGACAAGAATACAAAATTACACTTTACGGGAAATCAAGGTGCCTGCATATTTTTGAAGCATTGGTGCAAAAAGGAGAGGAGGTTCCCATTGGTCATAAAGTCGAAAAAACATACACGGCGAATGAAGAAGACGCTATATCTGGGATCGGAATTTACCAGTCAACTTCACAAAATCCAACATACACCACCGAGAAAAACTGTACCAAAATAGGTGCCATAAAGCTTCGTCGACCAAACGGAGGCTGGTCCGAGGGTTCTTTGATCCACGCCGTCGTCGAGTTCGGGGGCACTCATTTCGACGTTGCTTTGACAGACGACTGTCTCGACGAAACATACAGGCACTCATACGATTTTCTTCGAAATTAATACCTAAACATTCATCTTATTTAGCCAGTGGTGTAAACTTATTATGTATATGTTACAGTAAATATGTGAAATCAGGAATTTCGTGTATTTCCTAAACCATTCAGCAAATACATGTATTTACTGGCTGTTTTAGGAAATACATGTAATTACTGAATAGACTAGGAAATTCATGTATTAACTGAAAATTTTAGCCAATTTTACACGTTCTTACTGAACTAAGAAGACATACTATACATATGTTTTAAAATATTCAATAAGTGTACAAATACTAGTATGCATGCTTTTAAAACAGCACTTTATATAATTTTTTTTACAACGCTGACATTCGTCATAGATTAATTACCGAGTCTGGGCAAAACTCACTGCACTGTCTATCTAAAATTCCATTTAAGGAGGAATTCTTTTAACTAATGTTTCTTCATTGAACCATTACAATATATGTATTTTATGAGATTTTTTGGCATTTTTTCAGAGACAATATAAAAATTGTTTTATTAGCAAATATGTTTTAAAGAAGAAGGTACGGTTTTAGCTTTATTGTGCCCTAAAAATTTAATGTTTTCAAAAAGTTTTGAAACTGGCTTAAGTATTAGTTGAGTATATGACTGTGATAAATCAGGAAAAAATAGGCCATGAAGAAATACCATTCTGGAAATATGACGTCATTAATTTGATGCATTTCTCTATTTTAAACAGAAAAAGCCTCAAAATGACTCATTTCAAGGTTTATTTTCCTTAAGAAAATAGTGTCCACAGCCGTCGCCCACTTTAATTTTCAGATATGTTGCGTAAAATTCTTTGAAAAATCACATATCTCAAAATCTTTGTGGGCGATGCCTGTGGACAATATTATCTGAAAGAAAATTCCATTGAAAATTGATGTCTTCTGCAGCTTTTTAAGAAAATACGGGAAATTGCACAAGTTTATGATGTCACAATTAGCATTTAGAAGGTCATGTGAGAAAAATGATTTGTATGATCTTTCTGGGTGGAATTTCACTGATTCAGAAAGCATGAGTTTTAATATTTTACATCACTTTCATTTTTAAGAAAAACACAGGGCAAGATTTGTATTGAAACCATACCTTGTTCTTTGCTCTTAATAAATGCATAGTAGCATAGTATGAGTATATAATAAAATGTGAAGAAATGACAGTATGCGATTTTATTTTATTTTTTTAATTAAAAAAAAATTATAAAAATAATGGCATTTATGGCCATTTCACAAAGTTAAAGTATGTTGTGGTAAGACAACTGATTCCAGAAAATGAAAAGCGGCGTATTAGTATGTATTATATTTTTGTGCCATTTTCACCCAAAAGTTATTTTAACACTCTAGGACTTTCACATATTTAAAACTTGCATTTCAGTCGCGGGTATTCTTGTCACCTTGACACATCTAGCTCTTGATTATTTTATTCGTAGTTTTAAAAACAACAAGTAACGTAATTTATTTAGTAAATAATTTTTTTTAAAATAAAATTGTTTTCCGACTTTTTAAAAAATGTTTTATTAGATAATCATATGCGTTTATTAACAGTTAAATACCCTGAAGTATTCAATTAGCAAAAATTTTTACATTTTCTGTGGGGAAAAATGCAAAATTAAAAAAAAATCATATAAAATAATTTAGAACTAATATCGGTCGTTCAAAGCTGAAACCATATTTTAAAAGGGATGTCTTAAACATTCGTTAAACAAAAGGCCCAGGGGCCACATCGCTCACCTGAGCACTGTGACTAAGAAAAAGCAAAAATCAGTTTGGTATTGGAAATCTTAAATGCATAAGCGGTCCCGACCTACCCCTAAAAGGGAGTGGGGGGGGGGGGGGGCTGTATGAATGAAACAAAATTGAATCTACACCTTCTGTTACCAAACTAACTAAGGATGCTTACATATTTTTTTGACTAACTGTGGCTTTTTTCCCTACAAGTTTGAACTTTCATTGTGGCCCCACCCTACCCCCGAGGGTTATTGATTTGAACAAACTTGAACCTACACTATCTATCTGAATATGACCAACCATGGCTTTGCTGTTCTTGTTAAGAAGATTCTTAAAGATTTTTCCTATATATTCCTATGTAAAACTTTGATCGTCCGTTGTGGCCCCACCCTTCCCCCGGGGGTCGTGATTTGAACAAATTTGAATCTACACCACCTGAGGATACTTCCATATAAATATGACCAATCATAGCTTTGCTGTTCTTGAGAAGAAGATTTTTGAAGATTTTTCCTATATACTCCTATATTAAACTTTGATTGTCCATTGTGGCTCCACCCGACCCCCGGGGGTCATGATTTGTACAAACTTGAATCTACACCACCTGAAGATACTTTTACATAAATATGACTAATCATTCCTTTGCTGTTCTTGAGAAGAAGATTTTTGAAGATTTTTTCTATATCCTCCTATGTTAAACTTTGATCGTCTATTGTGGCCCCACCCTACCCCCGGGGGTCATGGTTTGAACAAACTTGAATCTACACCACCTGAGAATGCTTCCATATAAATATGATCAATCATAGCTTTGCTGTTCTTGAGAAGAAGATTTTTGAAGATTTTTGCTATATATTCCTATGTAAAAATTTGATTGTCCATTGTGGCCCCACCCTTCCCCTGGGGGTCATGATTTGAACAAATTGGAATCTACACTACCTGACAATGATTCCATTTGAGTTTCATCTTTCCTGGCCCATTGGTTCTTGAGAAGAAGATTTTTCAATGATGCCATTAATTTTTCGCTATTTCGTGATTATCTCCCCTTGGAGGAGGGCGTGGCTCTTCATTTGAACAAACAAATCCCCTTTACCCAAGGATACTCTGTGCCAAGTTTGGTTGAAATTGGCCCAGTAGTTCTGGAGAAGAAGATGAAAATGTGAAAAGTTTACAACAACGACGACGACAGACAACGGACAAATTTCGATCAGAAAAGCTCACTGGAGCCTTCGGCTCAGGTGAGCTAATAAAAAAAAATTGGTTTAGCATTCCTCCTTATTTCTTCTTTTTGCAATCAAGGTTTGCAAGAATTATCATTTTGATACCAAGTAAAGAGCTTCTGGGTGAAAAGCCTACTCTTATCATCAACCATTTAAATGGAAAGTGAATCAGTTAAAGACTGTTGTTTGTACAAGTTATATTGACCTCTACTCACCGGGTTTAAGTTGGTAAGGTAAACATCAAATTTTTACTGTGTGTCTGTTCATATTTTATGATATTTTAAATTATCTCACCAAAAACAAAATCAGTAAACACGAGTAAAAAGTACTGAAAAATTCAGTAAATACATGTATTTCCTTACTGAAAATAGTAAATACATGTATTTCCTAAGCAGAATAGGAATTTCATGTATTTCCTAAAATTTAGGGAATACATGAAATTCCTGATTACACATTTTTTCTGTAACATACATGTACCTGCTCGCGACTAGCTAGTTCTCAATAAATTTATCTCTCTGCTTTGAAGTAACAACGAAAATTGCTCAAACATCTGAATCCGAAAACTTAAAGGTTCCCCTTAATATCCGAATCATTTTTTCCCCTTCTTTTTCAAAAACATCCAAATCAGAAGAGGTTTTTCCCTAAAAAAATTCTGCAGCTATTTTCTGTATGTTGCACAAAAACATGTACGCGATTAATTGAATTCCTCTGATTATTTCCATACATTTGACGAACATTGTAGCAATTTTTGTCCACTTTTCGCATTAAAAGTTGAATGTTTCTAATGCTATGGTCAACAATTCAAGAATTCATCATATCATTGGTTTTTACTGGATTTCACAATTGAGTGTAATTAAGGTAAGCTATTAATGTGAGTTTTCAGATCTAACCAGCCGAAAATTATTAGACGTACAACGTATTCATTCTTCAGAATATACATTTTTGTGAAGTATTTTTGCCTATTCGAGAACTGGAACTGTCCGAGGATCAGTTGCGAGCCTGTAGTCTCAAAAACGAAATCACTTGAAAATAATGCGTTTTGTTTACAAGCTGTTGCAATTATTGTTATTCGAAATATAGAATAAAAAGAATGACACCTTTATATCTGCTTGGGAACATGTTGCAAAAAAAAAAAAAAAAAAAAAAAAAAAGAAAGAAAAAAGTTCATCAACGACTTTTACGTGCGAATTGTTAATTTTAAAAATTTTCATTACATATTTAACCACTTAATTTCTAGAAAAATGAAATTAATACCTATTCAAAGCATCCTGTGTAAGTTTTGAAAGCTTGCTTGACACTATCATTACCGGCCCCCAGGAGGCGGTCGGTTATTTGATATGAAAGTCTGAAGTAGTCGTGCGTTTCTGCGGAGCTAAAAAAATAAAAGTATTTAACTTTCATGTAGAATATTAATAAAGAGTGTCTTAATGTTTAACAAAAACGCACAACAATTATAAAATCAAAATTGATAAAGAATTGGATAAATGTTTTATCTGATCGAATCCTGATTGACGAACTCTGTTAGTGCGGGAATATTAACACACGTGTTGAACATTATCTACAGCAAAGACCGAGATACTAGTATATATATATATATAATATATATGATCAATATTACGTTCTCCATTAAACAGGATTTATTGTATTTGTTTTAAAATGACGTATATATATACATTTCCAATGGGATTTTTTTCAAAAATATGATAAAATTTTTAATTTCTTAAAAGACAGAATATTACGAGATTTTTGCTCCAGCAGACGATGATAAAGCGCGTTTTACAATGTGCCAAGCATTTTCCCGCCACAACTCAACACAAAACAAAGAAACTGTAGTGGCGGATCTAGAGTGGGTTGTGGGGGTTTAACGCCCTCCTTTGGATTTGCTTAAGAGAGGGAGAGAGAGGGGGGAGTCCCAAATATTTGTGAAGAAAATTAAGTTGTTGTTGAAAAATTAAATCCGCGCCTGCAATGTCGCATGCACTGTTTTATTTCACCGGGAAAAATTAACAGATTAATATCAAATATATTAATAACAGATCATGCATTTCAGTTTGTTGCCTCATAAAAGAAACAATTGGTTTGCGGCCGATTTTTGACGCTTGCGTCGATATGTTTCTTGGATGTATTATACATTGTAAATACATGTACTTAGTGCCATTTCATTTCATCAGGCAGGCTGTCTTGCATCCATGCACTAGGCTCAATAAGGAATTTATGTTATTAAGAAATACATGTATTTTGTCTGTTTTCTGTAAGGATATGAATAGTACTTTTTCTTTTAAAAAATTACTAATTTTGCAATGCTGACTCTGCATTTTTGAGTGATCTATTTTTATCTGATCTGGATGTCATACCAGTATCGCTATTTGTAATATGCTTAAGAATGAAAAAAATCAACTATGAGTTTCTATTACTAAATTACATCTTTTTTACTTCATTTTTCAAAACTCCATTAATATGCAAACATCCTAGGGGAATGTGGTGGGGCCAAAATAAGGGATCAAAGATATTGGGAAAAAGTCTCTCTGGAAAAAAGGCGTTAGATTAC